TGTGGATAAATACATCAAGTCCACACGAGAAGATGTAAAAAATGGCAAGTTGGCTTTCTTGGACTGTGAGGTCTCAGTTTCTGATAGAAGACATTTGCAAACTGAGGTGTACAACAAACCCACCCACACAGACCAGTATTTGCAGTTTGCCTCCCATCACCTTTTGGAGCACAAGTTAGGAGTCATCAGGACTCTGTATCACAGAGCAGACAGCGTCCCCATTAACTCAGGAGCCAGGCAGAAGGAGAAATCCCACACAAGACAGGTTCTAGAGCAATGTGGATATCCTAACTGGGCCTTCCTGAAAGCAGAGAAGAAACCCAAACAGGACTCCAGTCAGCCATCAGGTGAAAAGGAGGAACCCAGACCCAGACCAGTGGCCATTCCGTATGTTGCGGGAGTATCAAAGAAACTGAGACATTTATTTTCTAAACACAACATCCCAGTGGGTTTTAAACCCCAAAATACATTACGGAAAAGGCTGGTTCATCCCAAAGATCCAGTTCCCCGGCACAAACAGAGTAATATTGTGTATGCTGTTCAGTGTCAGGAGGGCTGTGATCAGTCTTACATCGGGGAAACTAAACAGCCACTGGCCAAAAGGATGGCCCAGCACAGAAGAGCAACAGGATCAGGCCAGGACTCTGTGGTCTACACTCATCTCCAGGCCAGCGGTCACTCGTTCATGGATGAAGATGTTCACATCCTGGATAGAGAGGAACATTGGTTTGAGAGAAGAGTAAAGGAGGCAATCTTTGTGAAAAGAAATCATCCATCATTAAACAGGGGTGGAGGCCTCCGTGTTCAACTGTCCCCCTCTTACAATGCTGTTATTGCTAGTATCACTCAACCCCCTGTGAATAGCAAACAGTCATCGGAGTGCTAATGATCCATCGTTAGGCTGATGGTCCATCTTGATCATGTGAGCAGCTGGTTTTGGTTGTCAGCAGCAAACTGGTTGATCCACTCTGAGAAGGTGCTATTTATAAGACTGAGCTGAAAACAGCACCTTAGACTGAAGAAGTCTTTCGGATGAAAGACGAAACGTTTCTACATTTTTTTGTTGTTGTTGTTGTTTTGCTTTGTTTTGTTTTTTGAATGTCCAGAGGACCAGACTTAACTTTTTTAGATTTTTCTACCTGGATTATTGAGCATGCATCAGGATATTGGGACTCACTGTGTTCGTTTCTGCCTCTGCCTTCAAAAGTTGTCAGAAAACTTTCCTTAAAGGCACTTGTAAATGTTTTATTATTTAGTGATGTTATTTTGTTTTTCTGATTATGTCATTTATTTGATTAAGTTTTGTATTATTGTTTGTTTTTAATACTTCTTTCACTTGCTTTTTATTGTTTATGTTTTTGTTTTGTATTGCTGTCCCCTTTCTTTTACCCTTTCAAGAACCTTCTGGCACTTGCCAGGCTGACATTGTAAATAAGAAACTGTTCTTAATGTCTTGCCTGGTAAAATAAAGGCTAAATAAAAAATAAAATATAAATAAACAATGAAAGTAAATGTGTGTGTTATGTTAGCAGTAAATGGAAGATAAATCAGGCTCCCCGCACTTTTTCTTTCCTTCTATGTACAGGATTACCTGGAACTCTGGTCACCATTGTGACAGCCAGCCTAATTGGCAAATGTAGGTTTCAACCAAATCCTCAAGACACACACACACACACACACACACATACTCAGCAGCTAGCTTAGCAGCGTTGAGCTAATCTCTAAGAACATTAAGCTTTATGAGGTCTGAGCACATAAATTGCTTAATCTTTTTCTCTCTCTCTCTCCCTCCCTCTCTCTCTCACACACACACATTCTCTCTCTCTCTCTCTCTCTCTCTCTCTCTCTCTCTCTCTCTCTCTCTCGCTCTCTCTCTCTCTCTCGCTCTCTCTCTCTCTCTCTCTCTCACACACACACACACACACACACACACACAGACACACAGACACACACACACACACACACACACACACCACACACACCGCCC